GCAAAATTGTCACCAGGGTTTTTCAAAATTACATACTTCCTGTTGGGGTTAGGGTTTGGCGCTGATTGACTTTTTTGTGCGTCCTGACCTGCTACACATGCCCAGCGAATCTTGTCAGTGTAGGTGAAACAACCATTCGACAACAGTCAGTTGAATGCAAAAAACACTGTGAAAATGGACAAAATGGCCATTGATCGAAATTGGACGGCCACCATTTCCAAACTGGGCCTCATCTGCGGATCGTTTGAAGAACTTTTAGTCACCACGTCCTGTAGTTTGTGCCTGCCAAATGTCAGGTGTGTACGACGAACCCCCTAGGAGGAGTTCGATTTAGAAAATGGCCAAAAATGGCCATTTTTCAGCAAAAATGGCTCGCCATGCTCGCCATTTTTCCAACATGGCGGATTTCCTGTCGAGTTTACAGAAACATGCTAATGGACTTTTTTGTGCGTCACAAGTTGTTACATATGTGTAGCAAATGTAGTAGTTGTAAATCAAACATAGCCCCAATGGGAATCTGTTGAAATATTGTAGGGGGCGCCGTTGAGCCGTGTTGCATTTCACAACTTGGCCCAGCCTGACTTTTTTATTCATCAACCTTGCAGCCTTGAAAAAAAAAAAAAGCTCTGGTGACACTATACAGTCACTTTACATACCTAGATTTATTTGGCCATGATCCCGACATCCTTTTTGGTCATGAGCCTGCTTCTCTGACCCAACAAGGTGGTTGGCAGCCATGACAGTGTCGGTAATCCAGGAACAAACCTCAGCTGCAAAGTTTAGCTTTGGCAGGATTATCATTCGTTGCTCTAAGTGTTGTCACCCAACCAAAGAAGAAAGGGTAAAAAAAACATTGTTTGTGATAATATTCCTACAAACACACTCTAATATACCCTGAAGGTCTCACCAATGAAAAGCGCTGACACTTGGACTAAGGGAAGAGAAGCTTTATACCAGCATATTCAAAACCCATGGAACTTCTCTGTGTATTTACAAAAACATAATACAAGAATAAAAAAGAGAAAATGAACACATCACAAATGTCCCACATACTGCCACAAAACAGAAAACATGATCCAATTTACAAATGCATCTTCTTGTACTCCCACTTATGGCTTCAATCTAACACGGAAACAAAATATAACATCTCTGTTCAGTTGTGATGGTGCGTCATCAGTCCATTGCTCCCTTTTGCAATAATTCTCTCCAGATTTATCTTTAAATAATAATAATAATAATAATAATTAATAATAATAATAATAATATCAAATACACATACAAGACAGAGGAGCTACATTTGTGAGCTGTACACTTTGCAGTAAGGGAAGGGAAAGGAGAATGTTCACAGGAATATTGACCCTTTGTACATGATGATAATCCATCTTGGGCAGTGAAAAAAGTTTAAAACATTGATTTAAAAAAAAAAAAAAAGAAGAAGAAGCTTATTTTAGCTTTCTGTACCCACCAACTTTTCATATCATACTCAAATCACAGTTTAGCCGGATGTTAATTAAGTATGAGTGACCAAAATGACTTTTTCAAGCTTCACCGTCCACGCTGGTAATCTGTCTCTCTTTCTCATTTGAACATTTTATGTCAAAAGAAACCGGATCATTGTACCCATTTGGTCATTGTGGCTCCACGATGTAAACTGATGAATCACATGGAACCAGATTTAAAGAACTAGTGAGCAGAGAGGTATTAGCTAACAGCACTAACAAATTATTTTACAACTGGTTCCGTTCAATTCAATAAAAAAAAACAGATTCTCTTTTGTTGACCTTTTCTCAGGTTTCAGCCCCCACTGACGCCGTCAACAGAGTGCAAAGTCAATCAAAAAGTATTACACATACAGTGAAGTGTCACAGGTTGAATTACAAAAAAGTTTTCAGTCGAATTCAGAAAGATGCATCACTTAATTGTAAAAAAAAACTGGCCAAACTTTCAGTCTGTACAGTACTAGTGAGTGTTAACCTTTGTGCAGTCAGGCCTCACTCTTATCCCTACTACTGCTCTTTCCAATTAAATCATTGATCAGATGTGACTTACAGGGAGACTATGGAACTTCTGAAATTAACACAAGTTGCTCTTACAAATAGACAGCTGAATTCAGAACAAATAAAATATGCTGCACGTATGTAGTTTAATAAACTCAGGGGTTTTACAGCCTTACTGTATTTGGTTTGGTGTGACAAGTGGCTTTTGGTTGCTAAATGTTAGCTAATGTAACAAACTTAATCTAGATATTGCTTTATAACAGACATCATAACTCCATTTTACCACCTTTACGCACTTTATTTTTTACCATTTCTACTTATGGTAAAAGGGCTACTGTTCAACAAAAGTTACATAGTCTCACTTTAAGCTTTTCTCTCAATAACCATTTGAAATAATTTCAGAAATAAAAATGCAAACAAACACTTCAGATTGTGCTGAAGCCTTTGTGTAAATTACAATTCATGTCTCACTGCTGACTTTGATCTGCACCTCATTCGCCTCATCCGGCGAGACAGAGTGAACGCGCTTACATTTGCCACATTTGTGGCTCAGTTTGTGGATGGAAATCAGAAAACTTAACCCATGGTACAAAACATAAAACACAAGGTTAGTGGTCTTAAAGATTTAGACAACCACAAATGCTGAAAAAGACTTCACAAATATCTGCACAAGCCTCTATTAAAACCTCATGGCAATATGACTGTGACGTCTCTCCACTTCTCTTCTGGTGTCGTAATTTATCAAGAAAAGAAAAGAAAAGAAAAAAAAACATGTTGACAGCCAGTCAGTGATTAATCAATTTATCAATAAAAAGTGCCGACATGTATTTAAATTCTCTGTCATTTAAACCTCATGATACTTTGTTTTTCGGGTATTAAACTCTGTGATATGACGCAAAAGGCAGAAACGTCCGTCTGTAACTGGAGTGTGCGCTCTGTCTCACACACACTGTATGCAAATATACAAAGAGTTCTCCTCTGGGTTGTTTCAATTTGGTTCCTTTGTACAGTCTCATAGTTGCAGAGGAAGAACTGATGAATGTAGCAGAGTCACCACTTAGAACGAGAGAAGAAACCGGAGAGAAGAGACATGGACAGAAACCATGGAGGGGCAGGGGTGGGGAGGGGTAGTGGAAGGATGATGCCTGGGGCAACTGTCCCGACTGGGCAGATGGTAGTAGTGGTGGTGGAGGTGGTGGTGGGAGAGTCACTGGCCTAGATGACATCACATCGTGTCTCTCTGCTTTTCACCGATCCACACCAGGTTACTGAGCGACTGAGCAAACCTGCCTCCAGAGCCTTCACACGCTCATCGTCATGTTTGGAGAATACTGCAGAGGAAGAAACAAAAGTGTGAGCGTGCTGGAAAGAAAAAAATAAAGCATGAAACTTAGTTGAACCTGCAGGACAGAACCTTTGTGTCGCCCTTCTGACAGTGAGAATAACTTTACAAACACCATCAACGTGGGATTGTGGCATACAGTGATCAAAAGATTACGTTAAGACCATGTGTATCTTGGCAGTCTGAAATTCCCAGTGACTTCAATAGCTCCTAATTTTCTATGTTGGAATTAAAACATGTACGTCTTTATTACAAAAACTAATCATGCATTTTGGTTCTTTCGCAGATTTATTATAGGAAATATGAAAAACCTGCTGGGTCAAACTATACATACAACAGCCTACCTCGCCATCCTTTGATCTGAACATAGAATGTAGATTTTTTCTGGAGAATTAGAAATGCATCTTGGACGCCTCCTAGATTTGTCTACCATAGGCTCCACTGTACTCCTAGTTGTTTTCGCCTCTGTCGCTACAGCTGCTCTTCTTTTCAGTCTGGACAAACCAGTCTTTGTGGGTTGATGTTAAACACACCATCACTGATGCATCAGCATGTGAGTGTTGCCACAGACATCAGATTTAAAACTCTGGTCAAATACAGAGATTTACCTGGCGCTGATAGGCTTAGTGAGCATTGTGGCAAGAGCTTGAGTATAACAGATGTTCATTTGTACATACAAGTCACTCACTCTAGTTTTAACACTATTCTATACTAGTATCCTGAATTAAAATCTATTGTAAGTGGTATGCATGGCAATATGTTATTTAGATTTCTTGCTGAGGGTTAGCCAAGAAGATCCAGTATGTAGGAGCTCGCAGCTGCTTAGCCAAACATAAAGACATGAAACCAGAGGGGACACAACTAACCTGGTGCTAACTCCTCCCCTAACTAACATAATATATCTTGTTTATATTAATCCTAAGTGACTACCTTGAGTATTGTTATCACATTGCCAGACAACCAGTTGAAATGCAAATGTTAAAATAAGCATTTAAAAGTAACGCTATTTTTTTTAAAAACCTTGTTGATAACTTATTTTCTGGGAGCTCTCTCTACCAAACACCTCTACATCCCTCTAATGATCCCAGACAGCAGGTCACAACTAACTCACACTTTCATTCTGAAAAGGGTTAAGGAAGTTTCCTCCCATCTCTCCGTCCTCTCTGGGGGTCCCAGGCTGGTTACTCATACTTAGGTTTCCAGGAGAGTTCTGTTCAAAGACAAGTAAAAAACACAGTTTACAACACGATGAGCACACCCCTGTGCACTCACGTACATGTCAAATGATTCAAAATTGTATTCACTTTTCAATAATGGCATTGCATGTAGGTTGACAAGAAGAGTATTTCCTCTTATGAACCTTTAAAAACAAATGCTTAAGAGAAACTATAGTAAATATACAGACTCAAAAGTAGAAACTCAGTTAAACAGAAATGAAAACACCTGTGATCAGCGACACACAAGTTCCAAAAATCTGACAACAGCAGAACTATCTTGAGTATGTTTGTAATTTCCAACTAGCCTAATTGCATAACTGATCTTTGAGCTGCATCACCTTCAGAGTATTTTAAAGAGAAGGTTAGTGAGACATAAGCCCTGCAGCAAAGAGCTGCTGAAAAAACATGGCCTCTGAAGAAAGGCATCTCTCCAGAAGACCTGAGAGGAACTGAATGTGTCAAAAATAAAGGTGCAACCACATAGAACTGAGGAAAAGTGATTTGAATATCAGTAATGAAAGGTGTAAACACTTTTGTTGAATTGAGTTCCTACGACTGTCGTCTAGTTTTTAATTGTGCATAAGATGAAAATACCCAACTGTTTAACTTAGAAGCAATGGAAATACTTTAAGGGGAAATACTTTAAAATCATTTGACATTTAAATTATGTTAAACAGTCAATGTTATTATGAAAGCTACAAAAACTAGAAGTGCAGTGCCTTTACAAACTGGACATTTCGAGTTGGTATAAAGACTCTCTTACCTTGGGCAGACTGTCCATATCACCCGACCCTGAGAAAGGGAACACAACTATGAAAATAAAGCAAATCACCATGACAAATTCAGTGAATGCTCATTTGTCATGTGTTGTTTGTAAAAATTAGTGGCAAACATTGTCAGAAATTTAGTACCAATGCTATTTGTTCTTGTACCTAAAGATCCATTCATGTGATGGGGCTCCATTCCAGCCATTCCCCCTAATGGACCATCGCTACCTGCACCCATGGGAAACTGAGGAGAACGCAAACACACACAATATAATGGTACACAGGTAAGCAAATGTACCCATAAAACAAGCACATACATAGAAACAGCATTCATTTTTGGACATCAAAGAGCTCTTACGCCCACACAGACTCTATAAACACTCAGACACTGTGACATGCAGAGAGAGAAAAATGTCTCACATTTGGTCGGCTTCCACCTGGAGGGACTGTGTTTATCATAGTGTACATGTTGTCACCAGAGTTGGTCGAATCTGGGGGAAAAAAAATAAAGAAAGAAACGACGGAAGGACAGAAGATCATGAATAGGTGTGTGGATAGGACTCAGTCAGCCTTGCACATCCAGACACTATAATTCTACTCCATTCTTCTTCAGGGATCACAAGTAAACGGCCGGTTTAAAGCCCACCCACAAATTCTGAATTGGATTCAGATCTGGGTTCTGACTTCACCACGTTAGCACATTCACCTTGTTGTCTTTAAACCGCTATCAGGCAGCCCTCAAGAATTTTCCTATAACTTAATTTTACCCTCTGTCTTTACAACCCTTCAGGCCTGCTACCGAGAAACATGCCCACATTATGATGCTGCCACCACCATGCTTCACAGTGAGGATGGTGCGTTTGTGAAGATGTGTAGTGTTTGGTATCTGCTCAGCATACCATCAATTCGGATGGCGAAAAGTCTCAATTTGGGTCCAAAGAATCTTCTTCCAGTTGACTTCAGAGTCTCTCACACACACCTTCTGGTAAACTATAGCAAGCTCATATATCTCAAGCTTATACATCCATCCATCCATTATCTATACACCGCTTAATCCTCACTAGGGTTGAAGGGGGGGCTGGAGTCTATCCCAGCTGACTTAGGGTGAAGGCAGGGGACACCCTGGACAGGTCGCCAGTCTATCGCAGGGCTACACTTAGAGACAGACAACCAAGCACACTCACATTCACACCTACGGACAATTTAGAATCACCAATTAACCTCAACATGTTTTTGGACTTTGTGGGAGGAAGCCGGAGAACCCGGAGAGAACCCACGCTGCACGGGGAGAACATGCAAACTCCACGCAGAAAGATTCCGGTGCCCCCACCGGGACGCGAACCGGCGACCTTGTTGCTGCGAGGCAACAGTGCTACCAACTGCACCACCCTGCAGCCCGAGCTTATATATGTGATTACATATAAGGTTTTTTCAACAGTTGCTTTCTCTTTGGCTGGTAAATAACCTGGATTACAGTTGCTGTATGCAGTCTTTCCCTCTTCAGTTAAAGAAGAATTTAATTGTACTCCAAGGTGTAAGGTATATTCAGTGACCTGGAAATTTTCTTGTATCCATCCTCTGACTTTGGCTTTTCAATAACCTTTTAATGGAGGTGCTAGGAGTGTTCTTTTGTCTTCACGGAGTAGTTATAGTCAGGACTACTGAATAACCAGTTGCTGGACCCTTCAGATGCAGGTGTCTTTATATTACTTTATACTATAATCACTTGAGACACATTCACTGCACTCAGATGGTCTACATTTCATGAATTCTGTGACTTCTAACACCAATTGGCTGCATCTGTGTTGAATTAGGTAATGCACTTTAAAGGCCATAGATACTTAAGCAATCACTATTTTTCCTTTTTAAATTGTTAATAATTGACATTACTTTGTAGAAATCTGTTTTCACTTGACATGAAAGAGTCTTTTTGTAAATTCTTGTCAAAAAAAACTAATTAAATTGACTATGATTCAATGTTGGAAAGCAACAAAAGGAGAAAACAATAAATACTTGTTATTGGCACTGTACGCATGTACAGAACTTACCTGCTGGACTTGGCATTATTGGTGTCCCAGGTGGCCCCCCTCCTCCAGGAGGTCCCTGAAATTAGAGTTTGGTTTCCATAATATTAGTTCATGAACTAACGATTTACAGCCTATTCAGCAAGTGAAGAATGGTTTAAACTACATCATACATACCACATAGCTTCCTGGAGATGCGGAAGAGTAAGGGGTCTACAAGAACACAGAAGAAAACCATGAAGGGAATGAAATAAACATTAGGCTTTGTGTTAGGTGTCTTTGTTCGAGCACTTACAGAATTGGAGTTTGGAGGATTTGGCCAGGGCCTTCCTCCACCAGGTCCCCTGGAACACACAAACACACACTTTAGTTTTGTGGCTTGGCAGGCTTCTTTGTTTCCGATTCATTTGGGCAGAGTTGGCAACAACAAGCTCTTCTGATGCCAGAAAAAGGTGATGGGAACAACAAGTTGAGAAAAAAAACATTAGACGGAATAAGGGGAAGCCACCTCCGAGTTCCACTTCCAAAGCTAAGAAGCAAGAACATACTGAAAAGTTGTAGTAAAAGACAGCTAAAGAGAGAGATTAAGAATATTTGGCATTGGTTTGTTGTCCTCTGAAGTGAAAGAAATGTGGAGCTCTGCATGCCTGTCATTGTGTGTGAGAGAGCAGAGGTAGATTATATTATATATACACCACTCACATGCTCATACCAGGCATCCCAGGACCAACCAAGGCATTCAGCGGTGGTCTCATTCCACCTCCATAGTTCTAAAAACAACAAAAAAAAACACCAAAATGACACTCAGTCACATGCACAAGAGAGTAACTATCAGCAGAAATGCTTTGCAAATATCCCTACAAATCATCTCACCCCATACCTGCGGCCCTAGTGGTACCATTCCTCTGGGTGGAGTCATCCTCTGCATCGGTCCTCCCATGTTTGGATGCCCTTCAAGAAAAAGAAAAAAGCAGTCATACAACAGTCAGTCAGTTTGTTCCAGGAGGGTAGAAATTGGGATTTAGGATTTGCCAGGAAGCCTTCTGTTCTTCAGTGAAGCATTTTCTGGTGATGTGCACCTTTACTGTTGTTCTTTAAGCTGGACTACATGCCAGCCAATCCTTTATCGAGAACAACTCTCCATCATTGTCTGCTGAACTCTCGCTTTAAACAAACACTTTTTTGCGTTTTACGGCTTTGTCTGAGCACCGCTGTGTTTTAAAACCACAGAGGAGCATCTTTTTTCTGAGAAAATGAGATCAAATTGCAGCAGCGATTTTACAACGTTTACAATTGATTCCTTTACACATTTTTCTCATCCTAATGTTGCCTGAACAGCAACTAAAGCATCTCGAGTCTTTTTACCTGTGCGTATTTTATGCGTCGTCTAGAGGAGTGAGAAGCAGTTTGTGTTAATGGAGGTGTGCTTAAATGATAAGAAAAGATCTTTTATTATCAACAGCGTTCCCATGAACAGACTACACGAACTATGAATTACTCTCGCTAACAAGTGTTGTTTGTGCATCCGCGGACTGATATAGCTCGTCCCTCTGCGCTCCAGAACTTCACTGTTGTCAAAGAAACTATTAAAAACCCATAAACATGCCGCACTGTGGCGACGCACTGGGTGACAGATTCCTTCGTTTCGGTGAACAAAGAAAGTGCGCCTTCATTACATCTCGTCAAAAATAGCAACAGCATATAGAACCTTTTAAGTGATCACTACTTTGGAATCTCAGGAGATCAAAAATACAATTATGCAACCGGGTTCACTGAAATGAAAAAAATGTCAGTCAGTGTAACAGTAAGGCACTTTAGTCTTTTTTTTTTTTTTTAGCCGAGTGAGTATTATGGCTTGAGGGATGGCAAAGGCTGGTGAGTCCACAGCGCTTTGATCCTGAGTGAAAAATCTCAACAATTACTTGATAGATTGCTATGAAATGTTGGTTTCATGGTCCCCTGAGGAATCCTGCTGACATTGGTGGTTCCTGACTATCCTTGCAGTACCATAGTGAGGTTTAAATGTTAGTTCTATCATGAAATGTCTACGACTCTTATGTCAGTTTAAAAAGTAAAGCTTTATCAGGCTTTGATCTCAGAGAAAACACACCTTGAATCAACAGATAAAACCACATCAGTGTCATTCTTTAGCAAACCGGTTGTTGACCGAGCACGTGTACCGCATCTTACGTCTGTGTTTGTGCACACCGGTGTGTCTGTGTGTACCTTGTTGTCTTGTGGGATCCATTCCGCTGGGTAACATAGGCTGGCTACCTGGAACACCTCCAAGTCCCTGCAGAGGGAAAAGGATCCATTTCCAGCGTTATCATGACTGTCACACACACGCCGTCCATTCCAACTGTTTAGTTACGTCTGCTGCCTGCAGGTGTCAGTGTGGCTCTCACCTGATTCGGTAATCTGAGGGGCGGTCTGGGTCCTCCGGGGTATCGAGGTGACATAAATGGCTGGAAAACAGGTAAATATATTTCCAACTAATCTTCAAGAAAAACCAAACACAGTGGTAAAAGGGTTGGGTGACAAATTCAATAGTTTAACAACCATTCTCACAGAAACAAAAGGCTGGTTAAAGCTGTTGGGGGGGCACAGTGGGAAGTTTTTCAAAACAGGAAACCGACCAGAGCTGCTCTGACAACTTTAACAACAGTTCCATGACAGCAGAGCGGCGAAGCTGACCGCATTTTTCACTGGACTGAATTTATGGAAAAAGAAGGAGAGAATAAAGGATGAGGTTTGTTAATAATGATGTCAGCGCATGTGTTAACTGTGTGGAATTTGGCAGCGTGTGTTTGGAAGCTCTTTTGCAGCTGTGAGTGGGTTTTCACTTGTCCTCACCACAGACAGTAGCAATGCTGTTGCTATGTCTGCTCAACTAATGCCACCGGGGTTAGAAAAGCCAGTCTGCAGTGCTGGAGAAGTAATACTACATTGTGCCACTAGAGAGCAATGGTCCTCTTAATTTGATTTCCTAAACGCCTATCTCGGCTGTGCCAGAAAGACATGAAATAAATACAACTAGAGTTCTTTAGGTCTATTAAAATACTACAGTGACTTAAAGTCTAATTTTATATTATTAAAGAGAGCAAACAATTGAACAAAGAGAGTTGGGAATGAGTCAGTGAATGATTTAATTATTAAACAGAATCAGTGACTGAATAAATAAAAGATACGTGCAAGCCCAGAAAACATTATCTGTGATCTGCTTTTATTTTGGGAATAATCTTGCCGTGCAGATACTCTCTGATCGGGTCCACGCAAGAAAAAACCTGAATGAAGAAGTGGCAATTAGGTAATGAATACATTTCTTTAACTGATAAGTTTTGACAAGACCCTGTCTTCAAAGAGCAACTGATCTTCTTCAAAGGAGATAGAAAAGGATGTTCGGACTCACGTTTGAGTTTCTGAAAGCGGAACTGAGAAATGCCTCGGAAGGGTATTGATCCGTGTGTCAGATGCGAGCGTCTGAATTTGACCGATAATGACAGTTAATCAATGTACAACTGGCAGAGTCCTTCAGAGATGATCTGGGGCAATGCTGCATGTGTGTGTTTATCTGCGAGAGACTAATTTCTCCTGTCAGACTGCTGTCTGTCCGTTTTGGGGAACACATAAAGGTGAAGCCGCACAAAGATAAATGCAGGTCATACACGTATGCAACGGTACTGTAGGTTCACATATAGGGTTGAGTTTGAGTCAGTGAGGAAGCAGCGTCATGAATAAAATACTCAGGTGAATGTCAGCCAGTGTAATGTCCTTTAAAGTGATGGAATCATACCTGAAAGAACCCAGGGGGGACGGGCCCCACCGGCATGCCCTCTCCTGGGGGAAGGTTCCCCAGGACGGGGCTGGGAGCTGCTGCAGCACTCTGAAAGAGTCAAACACAGAAAGAAAAAGAGACTTCACCTCACATCTCAAAACTTGTCGGCAACTCGACAAACTCAGCACTGCTCTACTCAACAGCGATGGAGACCGGAGAGCATGTTTAGTCAAGCACTGTACTTAAGTGCAAATTCAACGCTTGATTATTTCCATTTCAAGCTGCTGTATAATTTTAGTGCTTCCACTACAGTTCAGAGTGATATCTTCTACGTTTTACTCCAGTTGTCAGTAAAAATGATCCACTGATACAATCCAGCATATGACAGGTGTCGAATGCATTTGATTAAATCTGCTTTTAAACGGAGAAGTTGACTTGCAATGCAGTACTTTCGTACTGCGGCATTGCTACTTTTACTCGACTTCATCCGTCCACGCTGCAGAGTAAACACCTACAAACCTTCTGCTGAACTCACCACCTATGATAAGAATACAGGAGGCATGAAAACAAACAAAGAAATTAGCAATCCGAGGGTCTTCCCCCGTCTCCCCCCTGCTGTCTCTCCCTCGGTGGGATATTTCCTGTTTCTGCAGATGCCCTGCCATGCTGGCGCAGGTTTATTTTTATACATTGTGTTTTTTGTTGTGCTTGTCCCAGACGGGTGGCGCTGGATCATTTCAGCACTGCCTCTGTCTGCTTCCTGTCGTATTGTGCTAGTAACCCGGTGTTACCACCCAGCACCGGCCTTCTTCCTCATCCTCTTTATGCACACAGAGCAGACAACAAGCCGAGTGGGAGAGCGTGCATCCACATATACAGTAGGATAATGTGTGAGCGCATACAGCCTGGATGTCTGCATCTGTGTGTGTGTGTGTGTTTTTTTTCTGTCTCCTCTTCTTCTTCTTCTTCTTCAGTATCTGCCCACTCTCTGTTCTATTTTTCTGATCTTCTTCTCTCACTTTCTCTCCCTCTCTGAAGGCATTGGCTGGGTGTAAAGAGCTCCAGTGAAATTCACCCACAGTCTCTGAAGTTTCCGCCAGCTGACTTTTTAGGTCAGACAGGAACAAGGTTTAATCAGAGCTGAGATAAAAGCAGACTGACGACACTCCTGTATCCCTTTCTGCTCCACCCCACCACCCTCGCTATTCCCTCAGCCTTCCCTCCTTCTCCTTCATATCTCCCCCATCGTTAATGTTCGGCAGCGGGGAGCGGGGAAGCGGCGCAGTTTTCCGACTCCATGTTCTGCTGCAAACATAGCATGTATTTGTCTCAGCAGATGAACGTACAGATGGACACAGATGGATATTGTATCTCCGTGGTTCAGTGGTGAGAGACTGGATTTGGTTTGTTTCTGTGTGTGCGCAACATCATGCACAGCATCAAGTGTGTGTTGTGATTTTGTGAGAGTTTTTTTTTTTTCTCTCTCTCTCTCTCTCCCTTTCTTTCTCCTCTCACACCCTGGATTACCCAGAATGCATTTGCTCCCTGGCAGCCTGGAGGTCTGCTGAGTTTGCCTTCACGCACAGAAAGAGAGAGAGAGGGAGGGAAAGAGGAGAAAAGAGGACAAAGCAGAGATTATGAGTGTGTGTGTGTGTGTGTGTGTGCATGAGGCAGTGAGTGTGTGTGTGTGTGTGTGAGTACACTTAATGTTTGTGCAGGAAAAGAAGAACTGGGGGGGAAGAAAAAAAATAAAAAAATCTACCTGACCTGCTGACAAAGCAGCATTTTCCAAATACAGCAACAAGAAAAAAAATAAAATAATAAAAACAACACGGCAGGATATCTCCAGGCCCCAAAAAAAACAGCACCACCTTCCAACTATGAAAAACAAAAACAACACTGGAAACAACTGCTCTTGTACTCGCTGTCTCTGTTGATTATGACAAATCAGATTGAGTCAAATTACATTAAAATCAGAATGAATCACACTTAGACGGATTCACAAAGCCTCGCTGGAATACGGGAGATTTTTTGGTCTTGGCACACGGATAAGTTGGAGGAGTCACGTGGTTTGCATTGTGGTGCCTGTGTAGAATTTACGCAGTACAAATAGATTAAGAAATAGACTTATTTGCTTTCTTAGCGACTTAGATGAGAAGATTAATGCCACTTTAATCCCTGTACAGCAAACATGAAGCCAAAGCCAGCAGTTGCTTAGCTTAGCTTAGCAGAGGAAGGGGAGTGGGGAGAAAAGGCTAGCCTGGCTGTCGAGGGTAACAAAATCCACTTACTAACACCTCCATACCTCATTAATTCATGTTAGAACACGTTTGTCTAATCTGTGCAAAAAAAAAGCCAGGTCTGCAAATGGAAAATAAAAAAAAATGATGGAGGTAATGTGGCGAACCATTTCTTGGCCAGTTCGCAGTAATTTCCTAACCTGGAGTCTCAACGCTTAAGAGAGTGGTAATAGGCAAACTGTGATGCTTTTGGACAGTGTTCCAAAATTGAATACACTCCCAAAATGTCAAAAATACTCCTTTAAGTCAACAAGAAATATGATGGAATATGATTTATGGATAGAAACATGGTTGCAGAGTTTGACCATCAGAGAGCAATGACAGGTTCATTATTGAGCTGTTAAATGTCCCAGTGAAGAGAATAAGAAAAATGCCTATTCGCGTTTATGTATAAACATCTTACTTCTCAAATATTTGCATTGATATTGGCTTTAAAAAGCTTGCAGCAGTAAAAAGGAGTGCACGAGCTAGAATTATGCACAAACAGACAACCTCATAGTTTTTCAATCAAGCACTGTAAACAGCACCTATAAAGTGGGTTCATTTGGAACAGATGGGAACAGTAGTGCTGTGGAGTGTTGGTGGGCAGCAGTTGATAAAGCGTACAAACCTGAGGAATCATAAGACCTGATATTACCTCGGAGTTGGTGTTTAATTCGGTATCATACACAAAACCTATGCATGCACAGAAAAAACCGGACTTAATTCCCACCCATTGGCCAAACTTTGCCCCCCCGGGGCTTCCAAAACACTGAGCAGTTTAAACAGCCAGACTACCAGCTCAAGTCATCCATAGCTAAACCTGAAACCAATTCACTTTCTCGAAAGACAAAGCCGCAGACCTTCACTAGTGCAGATTAGTGGTGACACAAACTGTTCCAACCTATCTGCAGAACACAAACAAGCTTCTCGCTCAGCCATAAAAAAAAACTAACCAGACAAAGAAAACTGTGTGGATCAGCTTCCATTTTGTTCCAACAACAAGAGTGAGACCATGCCTGCTCTTTAAAGGCTCTTAAATGTTTTTGAGTGGGTGTAAGCATGCGAAACACAAAATACAATCAAATATTTTCAGTGAGAAGGCCAGCGGAGGAGAGCGAGACGATGTGTACGTCTAATTTACAGCCTCCTGAGCTCAGCCTGCTCAGGTGTGTTGCATTTCTGACAAGGTCTCGGCTCGACGCGTTAACAACACGGAACAAGGGGAACAAACACAGCCGACAAAGAAGGACAAGATAACGCCAACCCCCGAGGCCGTCACGATATATATATAATTAAAAGATGCTCATAACTGTCTCGCTCATCTTTATCAGCTGAGTTGTGGACGGTGATAAAGAAGTGAACGTAATGTTTATTCCAATGGTAACGACGTGGCATTACTCTGATAAGTGATAACGGTTTAATTAAACATGCTGATGCGCTCAGACCTTTATGCTGCCTATCTCATTCACAAACTATGCAGTCACTCATGGCTGTAGATAATTATGTTAACAGTGATGTTGCGGGGCTTCACCTGGTATAATGTGACCACATCAACGCGGTGCAATTACCTCGTCTTACTGTTACTGTAGCCGCAGCAATGCAGCGATCTGGAAGTTAACGTCGGCTGCTGGTTGTCATTCAAACGCCGAATTGCCCCGAATTTGACTCGGTAAATTCCTGTTTGCCAGTCCTGTTTAAATACTGATTCACAGCCAAGCTCAACATATTCCCGCACTTAACCTTTGTAAACACAAAAGGCCCACAGATTGTTAAACACTGTTAATGAGTCTATCATTTACACCTCTCACACATCAGTGTTTACACTTTTCTGACAAGGCCAAGTGAGAGGAACAATGAGATATTGAGCTGGTGGCTCTACACATTAACACTGTATCATGGCGTGCATTGTTGTGTGACTGCTGTGAGCGGTGCTGCAGCACCGAGGATGCAGGTGGATTTATGACTGAGGTGAAGCACAATCAAATGCTACTGCTAATTTTCATTGCACTCGATCTGATGGAGTTGGCGGCAGAATCAATTTGTGAACAAATTGTCAGGCCCATTGTAAGGCCCAGAATATCTCAAAGCTGAAATGCTCAGCTGGTAAATGAAAACTAGCTTCTTATTTTAAGTCAGTTTAATCATTTTAAAGAAGCCCTCCGCTGCATCTGATCTGACATGGCTGCCCTGTTTAATCTTAACTCCTTTCTGTTTGCTCATTTCCGACTTTTCCCTCTCTCTTCCATGATTCTCTGTCTTCCTCCTTTTTCCAAAGAAACCCAGAAAGACTTGATTGAAGCTTAGCAATCTGAAAACAAGAAAATCAATTCATCCGTCTGTCCATTCTGCAGCCCCATTACATTAGGGCTTTTGATTTCATGAGTCATTGAATTGTTCAGCGATTTGCTCGCTGTGTATTGTTGTATGTTATGATCCCCACATTGCAGTTCGCTGGCGCTCTAACCAAAAGGTGTTTGTGATGAAACCTGAGGCAGTGGAACGGCCCCCGCATGTCCTCAGATGAACACCTGCATCTCCTGGCAAACTCATTTGTTGCATAAATTATTCAAAACACCTCCCTCCAGGAGAACACTACAGTAGAGCAGACGTACAGTAAGGCTGCAACGCTACTGAATGTGCCCTTTCCACAATGACAAAATGTCCAAAAGGGGGGTAATATTAGATGAGTGCCTGAAAGAAGGATGCGCAAATATAGACACATATGTCCAGCTAGTGAAGACAGCAGTCTGTTTTCCCATGTGGGCTGGAGGATTTCTGCATAACTTTTACCTCAGGTGGTACAAAACAAAGAGAAAAAAAAGGCAA